TATGTATATATATATATATATTTTTTTTTTTTGTGCTGTTGACATCATGTTAGTAATAGACTTGTTTATGCAGTATATACCAAAATATACATATTCATAGTATTACTGGACATTGGTTAAAAGACATTGAAAGAGTCAGTCAGAAATGCTATAAAACATAATTTTAACATACAGACTATTAATATTTGTTCATCAGCAATCGTTCTATTAATGTGAGCAATTCTATAGTGATTGTGAAGCGTAGAGTGTGGTGAACCCACCGTAAGCGCGGAGGGTTTGTGCGCGTCTCCTGCGTAAAGAGCGCAGAGCAGCAGCAGGACCGAGACGCGCATCCTCACAGCTCTCCAGACGCATCAAATCCACAAAAACTCACTTTAGACCCGATCGATTCTCCAACGTGACGCGCAATTCCTTAAATCCCGTCCCTTCACAGCTCTTGATGTGTGCTCGGTATTGCGGGCGTGGATTGTGTTCTGCGTGATTTCTCTGTGCGTAATGAAGTGAAGCGCTCGGTTTGGACTGTCTTGACCCTCTCCTCTGCTCAAGTGTGTGACTCCCTCTCTCTCTTTCCCTCTGTGTGTGTGTGTGTGTGTTTATCGGATGCCCGTGCTGTAGTCGGGAGGTAAGTTTGGGTGGAATCTCTTACAGATGCTGGTAGCTGAGGGGGGAAAACTTCTGTCTTCTCCGTCCCTCTGCTCTTTCTTCTCAACAACACACGTAAATCACTCTCTGTTTGGAAGTGACAAGCTGAACTGAAGCTGAAGTGATAAGCTGTATTGTGTAATATAATATAATAATAAAATATAGAACAATGTAATCATGAGGTAAATAATTATGACGCAATTTCTGACTGTTTAGGAATACGTGTACACACATGATCTATGTAAAATGTTGATGTTTAACACTTTCCATCTTCATTTACACTTTTCATCCACAGAAAACCATCATCTTCAGCAGAAGCACCATCACTATTAATAATCAATGCATCACTAAAATCCCTCCTGTATCTCATTGTGCGTGTTTTTAATTTTTTGAACACGTTGGCTTGTTTGCACTAACATGTCAGAGTAGCTTAAAGTAATTCAAAACAAACACTTTGAACAGCATTTCTCCAATTCTCTTTCAGCCAAATAAGTAGACATATGGCAGCAGTTATTGAAACTCATAACAGCCTCCATTCCCACGAGCGCAGAGGCAAAACTACACATGTGGGATTTCAGAGTTTTGTTCATTCAAAGGGCACACTTTCTATTTTTGCCTCTCGTGTTTAGCAGTGCTCAGTGAAACGTGTTCACTCACTGAATTCATTAGCTCTACACTAAATATTGATTGGGTGTCTTGTTGTTGACAAAATCGCAATAATCCATGGTGTTTCATTACTTGTCTTTTGACTTGACGATATACCTCATTATAAAAGCCAATAAAAACTTGGATGAAATAGCCTAACTCTGCTGTGTTACAGTGAATCTGATGGGCAGGTGTGAATCCTCAATTATAGGAACATCTGCGACATCTACAGGACACGTGTGGAAATGCAGCTCCATATCAGAGAACATTCACCATAAAAATAACTGGTAAAATGCCCATATGCGGCAAATAATAACTATAATTATTATTATTAATTTTAAAAAGTATAATAATCTTTAAATTAATATACTGCTACAGTAAATTAAATAGAATACCAAAAGCTTTAATAATTTATTAGTTTTTCAATTTTATGGGTATTGAATTTCCTCAGTATCATTATTTTGGTGTTATTATACGGTCTTTGTTATTAGTAAGGGATTATTGTGTCACATAGTTTATTTTGATTGTGATGATGATGATTGTGAGTTTGCTTTTTGGGAGGATTTCCTACATTTGACTGAATTAAAAGAGAGAGAAAAAAAGGAAAATGTGGTCTTTGGTATATTTATGAAAAAAATTAAACGTGATTTAGTAATTACTATAATTACAATCGAAAGTTGTTTTATGTAAGAATAGATCCTTGAAGACTTTACCAAATTTCTACATATTTCACAAGGAACTGTGTCATTATTTCTTAACACTGAAATTAATAAATGCCTTGAAATTCTGTTATTTAATAGAGGAATATAAACTTAAATATAACATATTTATATTCAATATTAAATTAAATTAAATATTAAAATATAAAATGGTCCCCACGTGTATTTATGAAAATTTTACGAAAATTAACCATGGTTTTACTGTTGTAAAAGCTGTTTTGGCATATTGATTACCATTTGTTTAACCACATGTATCCCATGGTTTAACTATCCTAAGTTTTTTTGGTTTTATTTGTAGTAAAACGATGGTTAATTTTCGTAAGGGTTGTTTATTTGATTAAGTTCTTTTATTTCCTATTCTTTATTTTCTTTGTCTTGTTTCATAATGTTTATGTCTTGTCTGGGTAAGACATTTTCAGTAGCCAATTATGTTTTGTATTTGAGTGTTTAAAATTGCTTGTTTCGCGTCTGAATTAATAAGTCTTTTTTCCAATTCAGCCAAAGGATTCCGCCGCTGGCCCACAATGCCTTGTGCGCCTCGACTGCTTCACCGGAAATATGTGCAGTGGACTTCCTCTCTCTCCTCCGCGGCAGCCGTGGGGTTTATTAAAGGTTTATTAACGGATTAAACGCCAATTAGAGGAATAAACATTCCTCATCTCTAGTTACCCCATGGACGACGAAGAGGCGAGTGCTCGTGACTGTAGAGACACGAGAGAGCGTGTGAGAGATTAAAGCGTATAACGTGTGTTGATGTTAATCAGTGGAGCGTCACGATAAGACTTCATTATCATTCCCTTTGTTAATTAACGTTACAAAAGTCAACCTGCATGTTCATGTTAAAATGTCAGACAGTATAATTTAAACTATCTTTTTGTTTGCAGTATGACCCTTATAACTGCCCCGGTGATTATGACTATCACACCGGTAAGTAACGTTATTGATTATCAGTTGTATGGCCATTTTATATGGGTGTCTATATTTATTAATGCGTTGGTAATATTAAGCTTTTTGTCATCCTAATAAAGCTGCCGAATAGATTGCATAGCTTCTAAACTGATAAGTGAGTAAATGTGTACTATTATAAAAGTGTATGTGTTTTTTTGCAGGCGACCCTAAAGCTGATCTGGCGTATGAACGTCAGTATGAGCACCAGCAGACGTATCATGTGATCCCTGAGGTCATCAAGAACTTCCTGCAGTATTTTCATAAAACCATCTCAGACCTGATCGATCAGAAGGTTTACGAGCTGCAGGCCAACCGCGTGTCCAGCGAGAGCATTGAGCAGAAGATCTACGAGATCCAGGATGTGTATGTATAAACAATTTGAGCCATAAATATTAAGATATGTAGACAATGTATCTTCCTATTTGAGCAACATTTTAATGAATTCATTCTTTATATTGTAGTTTTTAAAATATTGTCAAAGTATATGCTATTTTCCCTATACACTACTGTTCAAAAGTTTGGGGTCAGTATAAGTCTTTTCATTTTTTATAAAAGGCATTAATGCTTTTTTTTTCCAGCAAGGATGTGTTAAATTGATCAATAGTGACAGTAGATTTATAATGTTACAAAAGATTTCTTATTCAAAAAAAAAAAGGCTGCTCTTTTGAACTCATTATTATTACTGCAGAATCCTTAAAAAATTGTATCACAGATTCCACAAAAATATTAAGCAGCACAACTGTTTTTAACATTGATGATAAATATTTTTTGAGCAGCAAATCAGCATGATTTCTAAAGGATCATGTGTTCAACTGGAGTAATGATGCTAAAATTAATAATACGTAATAATGAAAATTCTGCTTTGTCATCATAGGAATAAATTACATTTTAAAATTCATTACAGTAGAAAACAGTTATTTTGAATTGTAATAATATTTCACAATATTACTGCTTTTACTGTATTTTTTATTAAATTGTTAGTTCACCCAAAAATGAAAATTAAACATAAAAATGTACTTTAGAATGTTTGTGTTTTTTGAATATTGTCAAAGGGTTTTTATGTTTAGATCAGCCAGTCCATTGAAGTAGTCAATTTAAGTGGGTTTGATGGATTTACAACAGCACATTTAATGTGTTTCATGTTGTCAGATGCTGATGGACCAGCACCTCTGGAGCTTCCTAACCAGTGGTTATGGGACATAATTGATGAGTTCATTTACCAGGTAAGTTAGTTGAGAAGAGCCTTTGTCCTCATAAGTCCTCTTATACTGCCGCCTTCTGTGTTACTGATGTGTTCGTGTAGAAGTGAAGAATGGCAGGTGCTGAACTCTCTCTCTCCATTCTGCAGTTCCAGTCGTTCAGTCAGTATCGCTGTAAGACGGCCAAGAAGTCAGAGGAGGAGATCGAGTTCCTGAGGAACAATCCCAAAATCTGGAACGTTCACAGCGTGCTGAATGTCCTTCACTCGCTGGTGGACAAGAGCAACATCAACGGTCAGCTGGAGGTGTACACTAGCGGAGGTGAAAGACGCCAACCAGCTCTCATGCCTTGGTTTCTTGGTCGTCTAATTCAGATGTCAGTGTGACGCCGGTGTTTGTGTCACAGGTGACCCAGAGTCAGTGGCTGGAGAATACGGCCGTCACTCTCTCTATAAGATGTTGGGTTATTTCAGTCTGGTGGGATTGCTGAGGCTTCACTCTCTGCTGGGCGATTACTATCAGGCCATCAAAGTCCTGGAGAACATCGAGCTCAACAAGAAGGTAAAAAAATACCCCACTATTGTCACTGAGTGAGTACTAGTGTCTCAAGACAAAAAAGAGGTGTGGCAGCATGCAAACATTTTTCATCAAATCAAATCTGGTTATCTTGTGTTTTTCAGAGCATGTATTCACGTGTGCCCGAGTGTCAGATCACCACATATTATTATGTGGGTTTTGCGTATCTGATGATGAGACGCTATCAGGACGCCATTCGTGTCTTCGCCAACATCCTGCTGTACATCCAGAGGACCAGAAACATGTTCCAGAGAACCACCTACAAGTATGAGATGGTCAGTGCTTTTTGTCTTTGCAGTATCGGTTGTTAAAATGCTCAAATTACTCTATTACTGCATAAAGGATAATGCTGATTACATACAAAATGCCAGAAAATGTAATTCCTGATGAAGGTGCTGTAATTTTGTGCATTAATATTCCAGGTGTTTTACTTGAAGATTGTATTTCATTCTGTTGTACTTTCAAGTCTGTACTGTCATAATGGTGTGATGCTTAATCTAAATTGTGTATTGTTTTCTGAACAGATTAATAAACAGAATGAGCAGATGCACGGGCTGCTGGCCATCGCTCTCACTATGTACCCCATGCGCATCGACGAGAGCATCCACACACAGCTGCGCGAGAAATACGGAGACAAGATGCTCCGCATGCAGAAAGGGTGAGAACACACATTATGCTAAGTTATGTATGTATGCACTACTAGGGATGCGCCGATCCGATATTCATATGGGGTATCGGCTCTGATAGTGCCATTTTTCTCGGATCGGGTATCGGTCAGAGAGGGCCGATCCAAATCCGAGATTATTTTATTTATTTATTTTTCCTTTCCCGATTGTGTGAATTATTCTGTGTTACTTCTGAAGCCATACGATACCTTAATGTGAGCTACATATGAATATTTAAGTCCTTACATTAAAGTTCACACAAACTCTTTTCTCCGCTGTCAGTCATTCGTTCAGCCTTTAAACCCTGGTCGCGTTTGGTTACAGCAGTCAGCTCGGTAAAGCTCTCTCCAAGATCATTCTGTGTTCCCATTATACTTGATTTGTAAATACATGTCTATGATTTTGCAAAAAGGACTTTATCTTCTTGCCGGAGTTTAATGTTGTTGTGTTACTTGCTACCGGGTGTCTAAGAGAACAAAACACGGGCGTAGAAAAGACTATAAATTGTTTTTAACGTGCACAGTAACTGAAATTTAAAACTGTTAAAAGAAAGGCGCAATAACTGTTGCACAGATATAATACACTACGCATCAATTTCTCTTCACTTTGTGCCTTGCAGTTTTTAACACGAAGCGCTTACAATGTGCGCATCCGGTGTGCAGAAAGATGACGTCACAGCCTGACGCCGTGTTGCTTCAAGCGCATCATTCTGCACACTGGATGCGCACATTGTAAGCGCTTCGGTATCGGTATCGGCCAATACCGAGCCCTAGGTATCGGAATCGGTATCGGAGGCGAAAAAGGCGGATCGGAGCATCCCTATGCACTACCATACAAAACTTTGGGGATATTTTTTTTTTTTATGTTTGTGAAAGAAGTCTCTTAGGTTCACTGCATTTATTTGAACAAAAATACAGTAAAACAGTAATATTGTGAAATATTATTGCAATTTAAAATGACTTCCATTTCAATGTTTTTTTTTTTCTGTGATGAATTTTCTTTGTTAAATAGAAAGTTCAGAAGAACAGCATTTATTTGAAATGAAAATCATTTGTAATGTTATAAATGCCTTTACTGTCACTTTTGATTAATTTTATACATCCTTGCTCAATTTAATGTTTAATGTTTAAAAAAAAAACTTGCACTCCCCAAATTTTTTGATCAGAGTATATTCAATATAGCATATATTTTAAAATGATAATATATCATATATAATTTATATAGACAATAAAAGGAGCAATTGAGTTTTTTTTCTCTTTTTCAGAGATCTTCAGGTGTTTGAGGAGTTGTTCAGCTTTGCCTGCCCCAAGTTTCTGTCACCCGTAGTTCCAAACTATGATAATGTTCATCCAGATTATCACAAAGAACCATTCCAGCAGCAGCTCAAGGTGTTTGCAGAGGAGGTGCAGCAGCAGGCGCAGCTCTCCACCATCCGCAGGTACAACAGCAGCTTATTCATGTTGAGGGCAGGTCTGTCTCTTTGGATGAAGAACAAGAATTCTATGATGATGTGTAATGAGCTCTCCTTCACTTTGAAATGTCCTCTGCTGACTCCATGTGTCTCTGTCAGTTTCCTGAAGCTCTACACCACCATGCCTGTGGCCAAACTGGCTGGATTCCTGGACATGTCCGAGCAGGAGTTTCGCATCCAGCTGCTGGTCTTCAAACACAAGATGAAGAACCTGGTGTGGACCAGCGGCATCTCTGCTCTGGATGGAGAATTTCAGTCTGCCTCTGAGGTCGACTTCTACATTGACAAGGTGTGTGTGTGTGTGTGTGTGTTGAGTTTCTGTCTTTAAACTGCCAAATTGAACACTTTAATTTCTGAGATTAAATATGGGGCTACAATATTCATGCCAGTTGTCTTATTATTTTGAAAATAATATTTAGTAGGCTGGAGTTTTTTTTTTACTGGCGAGTCACTCTAATAGTGAATTTACTTGGTCTTCCACCAGGATATGATCCATATTGCAGACACCAAGGTTGCCCGTCGCTATGGAGATTTCTTTATCCGACAGATCCACAAGTTTGAGGAGGTACACATGCTTGAATAATTCATATTCAGTGAATTATTGAATAATATCATATAGCATTCATATACATATTCTGTAAATTACAGTTTATGGATCTATTTTTGAATTAAACATCTGTGTTTTCACATTTTGATTGTACCTTTCTTATCTTCTGTAGCTTAACCGAACGCTGAAGAAAATGCCTCTGACTGGTGCCTCCTCTAGTGCGAGCAACTCCAATGAAGAACCTGGTGTGGACCAGTGGCATCTCTGCTCTGGATGGAGAATTTCAGTCTGCCTCTGAGGTCGACTTCTACATTGACAAGGTGTGTGTGTGTGTGTGTTGAGTTTCTGTCTTTAAACTGCCAAATTGAACACTTTAATTTCTGAGATTAAATATGGGGCTACAATATTCATGCCAGTTGTCTTATTATTTTGAAAATAATATTTAGTAGGCTGGAGTTTTTTTTTTACTGGCGAGTCACTCTAATAGTGAATTTACTTGGTCTTCCACCAGGATATGATCCATATTGCAGACACCAAGGTTGCCCGTCGCTATGGAGATTTCTTTATCCGACAGATCCACAAGTTTGAGGAGGTACGTGCTCTTGAATAATTTTTTTAAACATTTACATTTATGTAGATTTTCTGTAAATTTCTATACATTTATGTCCTTGTTAAATTAGTTTATGGATCTGTTTTTGAATGAAACGTCTATGTTGTCACATTTTGATTGCACCTCTTTGATCTTCTGTAGCTTAACCGAACGCTGAAGAAAATGCCTCTGACTGGTGCCTCCTCTAGTGCGAGCAACTCCACATCACGTGCCACATAATGCAGATCCCTCCAGTAGAACTAATCAAACCCTAATTTGATCTGACTGTGATATCCACCAATCACAGGCTAACCCAGACTTCTCAACCAATCAGGAACCACCTCTGATACTCTTTTACCAATCGGAGGCCATTTCTGAACTATAATGTAAGCCCTTTCAGTTCATTTCACTGACTTGTTCTGGACACAAGTGAAACTGATGGAAGTCTTGTTTTCTAAATCAATACATTTTGATGTGGCTGAACTGTAGTTTAGAGTCGTCTGAGTTTACATCTTAAATATATTGGGTCTGAAACAAAATTCTTTATAAACTGTTCTTGTGTAAATTACCACATTAAATTCAGTGACAATTTATATAATGTTCATGTATCATAAATGAGGCGCTAAGTATCTGTTTACACTTACATTTTACAAACATGAAGGCCTGCTATTCTAGTATAAATGCCCCTAGGTGACAGAAGAATCTTTGCATTCACTTGCATAATCTAGCAAGATGATTAAAAACAATACAAAACTACATTTTTCTTTCCATTTATTTTTGACAACTTTGGGTTCACAACATATTCCAACAAAAAATACCTTCCAGTTTGACGGCAACATTTATATGGGTGTCATGATTGTGTAATCGTTTAACTTTTCCAGTTTGATTTTAATACACTATTCAATAAGTAAACAGGACTTTTGAGATAGTCTATTTTCTGTCAGTGCAGTGTGTATGTGTATCATGGGCCGCGTTACTGTCTTTTAATATCCTGCTGCTAGGCTTCAATACATAAGAGGAATGCCATCCTCATGATGACTGCTGCTTTGGTCAATATTTTATCATCTTCAGGACCTTAAGGCAAAACCGTTGCATATTTTCTTTATTCAAACAGGATCCACAAAGATTTTCCATCTACAGCCTCAACGCTGGTGACTAGACAATAATGAGAGGGGAAAAAAACCTTACAAAAAAAGGGGATATAAAAAATAATAATGCCTTAAAACACACCATTTAAATAATCTGGTATAAAATGTTGAAAAATAAATACAATTAAATACAACCATTTATGCTCAACTCTGTTTGGTAGGTCAGCATTTTTCTTTTCCAAAAATATCTTTTGTAATCTTTATTTTTTTCTATATCAAAAAAGTAAAGGAAAATAAAGACATGGCATTTCCCCCTTAGGTGGCAGTGTTCTGTAAATGAAACATAATAGCTTGACTTTTATATTTTAATGTTGACTTTTCCCTTTTTTTTTTTTTTTTAAGGTAAAATTGAGGCATGGCATGAACCTTTCAAGCACTAGTTTCACTAGTGACACATAAGTCCCTCAGTTCGAGCAAGAATGAAATGTTTTGTAGTTGACCAGACAAACCTCTGGCCTCAATGTTCAGTGGCAACAGTGTTTGGTCTGCTGACTGGCTTTCCTCATTGGTCCATGGAACAGCTTTTAGTCCATTTTCTTGAATGCAGTCTTCCACTTTTTAAAGATAGTTCATGAAGTCATTTTTGTAATGTCTTAAAATTCACTATAAAGACACTGACAGAGCAGCTTGCAGTACAGTCTATGTTCTTGTGGTCGTTTCTTCTTTATATCAAATGAGCTTTTCACACTTACATGTTAACCCATGGTTTATAAATAAAGCACGTTTTTACATTGTTAATAATTTACCCTGGGTTGTCATGTTCAGTGATCACAAATGTTACAATTTTAAAGCACGCAACCTGCTTTTACAAACCTGTGGAAATGTGGCCATCTTGCCTTTAAAGGTGTAGCTCTCATATTTTTCATTAAACAATAGTAGCGTAGTACAAGCACCACTACACAACGAAGTTCCGCTTCGGTACCGAATGGGAGTACATTTACTAACGTAATGCATTACGGAACGGATCTGGAAAATACTGTGACATCGACAGTATTTTGAAGTACAAGTACCGCAATAATACTATAGCAGTAGCGATAGCTAAAAGTCAGCCATTTGTAGGTTGGATTGGGCGAAAAGACGCGGCAACATGAGCTCAACTAATGGCGTGCGTTTAGGGTGGGGATATCCATTTTTCGACATAAATTCATCCTAAATTTAAAAAAAAAAAAAACTTTGTCTTTCTCTTTATTCCATCCCTTTCTAGCTTGTACTTATTTGAACAAATGCCTGAAACTTGGTATTACGAGCACTTCCTGTATCCGTTTGCCTCTTTAAGAAGAATCGCTTTATGTATTCCCCAATTGTAAGTCGCTTTGGATAAAAACGTCTGCAAAATGATTAAATGTAAATGCAATGGCAGACAAGGGAACTGTTTGGGACCCCTGCATAAAAAATTTGAAACTTTGCAATCGTGCTTTGTGAATTTGAACACTATAGAAAAACAACATACATACAAAAATAATAAAATAATACTGTTTCTTATTCTCTCCAGTTAACATGTTTACCATCATTGTTCAACATTTTTAAACACTGACTATTCGACTAAACATATCGTAAAAAGATACTTCCTGCAGCCATACGTAGTGCATGAATATTTGAATGAATTCATTTACAACTGGTTGTCTATTGTTATTGTCATCAACGTTTACTAGCACTGCACTGTTTCACACTATATACCCATGGCACTGCAATAAACAGTGCCAACTCTGTTCTAGCTTCAGAACCCAAAGTTAAACCCTTTTTCAATTTCCAAGTGTGAAATAATGTTTAACCCAGGGTTAATCGCGGTGTGAAAAGCCCCAGAGATATACTCTCATAAGCAGTTCAAAGAGTTCATTATACACATACATCACCATGTTATTCCCTGGTGTCCCACTGAAATATGAAAAAGTAACTAAATAAAAACTAGTGTCCGTATTCGGCCTTCCACTGGTCTGAGAGTGCATTCATTGCCCATTGTGTAGTTTGAGTGTGTGCGGTTAAAGTGTCAGTACTCTTGAAGTAGCCCTGACAAGATGAGCTGCCCTTGATTTGGGCGTTCCAGGTCCACACACACATCTACACACCCTCCTCACACCTGGCCCTTACAAACCTGAACTCTTCTCCACATCGCAGGAAAGAGTTTCCATTGAAAACAAAGAGCCAGGAGTGCCATGCACGTTGTAGTTTTCTCAGACCAGCGAGGCCTCGGCTAGTCATAATTCTGTGATCTCTAATGGACTCTCAGACAGAGTGTCGCTGCCCTTGTTTCTATGCAAAGGTGTGGATTTTGCAGATTCTGTTCGGGCGTTGCGTTCGGCATACAGTCCGCCATCTGCGTGCAAGGCTTCAAGGGAGCGTGCCAGAGCCCGCTGGTCATCTTCAGGCAGGCTGTTGAGGTCAGAGGTCAACAGCGTGCCTGTGCTGCCGTGAACCGCATGCACCCCGTCAGGACCCCTGAGCTCGATTGGGAGTTTGTGCTTGAAACGAAGGGTTCCTCGACCTCCGACACCAACACGCTCGTCGTCATCTTCATCCAGGTCGCTTTGGATCAGCTGAGAGAGGAGAACATGGATGGATGAATGAAATGATTGAATGGAATTGATGCAATGATGGAGTGATGAATGGATGGATGGATGGTTGGTTGGGTGGGTGAATGTATGAATGGATGGATAGATGGTTGGTTGGTTGGTTGGTTTGTTGGGTGGGTGGGTTTATGGTTGGTTGGTTAGATGGATCGATGGTGGATGGATGATTGTTTTTTTGGGGTGTTTGGATAGGTGGATGGATGATTGAATTCATTTATGGATTGGTGAATGAATACAAGAAATGTAGGATACAATGATAAAACAATGAACAGAATGAAGGAGTCATGAATGGATGTGCAATATGGATAGATGCAATAGTAGTTGGATGCATGGATGGACAGATGCATGGACGAGTGGGTAAATGGTTGGAGGAATTAATGGTTTGTTTAGTTGATGAATGTAATTATGGATGGTTGAATACATTTATGGATTGGTAGATGATGGAGTGATAAATGTGTGGATGGTGGGATGGAGTTATCAATCAGATGGATGCATGGATTTATGGATTGGTAGATGAATAGATGGATGCATGTGGGTGAATAAAAGGAATGATGGATGCAATGATGGCATGATGAATAAATGCATGGTGGGATGGAATTGTTGATGGATGCAATTATAGATGGACGTGTGGAATTTTGGATTGGTAGATGCATTGATGAATAAATGGATGCATGATGGTTGGGTAGAAGGAAGGACAGATGGAGTGATAGATGATTGATATTATGGATTCAACAATACATATATGGAATTAGATTGGTAGATGGATGCATGGATGGATGCAAGACAATGTAAGGAGAAAAATAACCATTAACAACAAAAAAACTTACAATTTGACAGCAGTTTTAGAGGAAACACAGAGAGCAGCAAACACATCTGTGAAGCAGTGGAGAGCAGTGAGCAGGCTGTGAAACAGCCTGAGAAACATCAGCAGGGTCACATGACTCTGGACAGAAGGAGAACCCAGGGTTTCTACTGATAGGACAGGGTGGAGACGTAGTCAGCCAGCAGTGAGGAAGAGGGTGTAGAGGAAGAGCAAACACAGCACCCTGTCACATCGCCCACCTCTGTGACTGAAGACTGGTCACCGTGGCTGGTTGACTTGGTGACCATGCGGGCAGCAAACAGCTTTTTGAGTCTCAGGTAGTCATCCAGAACCACCTTTAGCAGCGAGCCCTGATTGGATGGCAGCATTGGTCATGTAGTGTCTTATGAACTGAATCCTTTAGCACGATTCTGATATTTCACTTCATTAAGAACATGATCTCACGCCACATTTTATTATATTGGGTCCCAAACTGAGTTTTAAGACAAAATAACACCATAAATGTTGATTCTAAACTGAAAATACATTTGAAATATGTTATAGTTCAGATTTGTGTCTAGGAATCAGGCCTCAAAAAGTACTGAAACTCTATGATGATCCCATCTTCTATGAAAAATGCTATCAAAGATTTTTATTGGTTTGCCTGTTTATGTTCTCCAACCTTTGCCAGGTTCATCAGTAGCTCTGATATCAGATTTGGAGTGAATGTTCTCACCTTGATGGGCCCCTCTCTCATGATTTGCCCAAGTTTGGCGATGTTGTCATACTCCTGAATAGCAGCTCGTAGATATCGGTCATCCTCTGGTTTAGAGGCCTGAGGCTCACGTCCAAATGTACCCTATAAAAGACAAGATATTTATTTAGTACCCTATAAAGTGAAGATGACACTTAAGTACCCCACAGAGAGAAGACAAAGAGAAGGTCTAGGTTCTTGTGATGACAATACATGCACCATGGCATGATTCTGAGAGTGCTTTTTTTTTTTTTTTGAGTTTATTACATGTGTGCGAGCCGGGCTGTTCCAGAGGTCAGCAATGTCACTTAAGTCTTCAGGAAGGTCATCCTCATGCTCCGCCTGTGCCGCTAACTCCAGATTCCTGCAGAAAGGATCTAGCCACACTGGATTTGCTCTACAAGCACATACAGAGAAAGAGATGCATTGTGATGCATTCAATTAAACCGTGCAATTTAGTCTGTTAGATGATAATCAACATTGTATTTTGAACATATCTCAAGTAGTATGAATATTATAAGTTTTGCCACACCTGTGATTATTTTAGCAGTCTTGAGCTCTGTTAACACATATACAAACAGGCTCATATCAACAACACCATTGTATCGCTCACTCACCCTTCAAACGAATACTTGTTTGTGTTGGGCATATCCAGAATATCCATCAACCCCTGATTTCCTGTAGATAGAGAGAGAAAACCAAACATGCTGTACCTTGACAACAAACACAAAGCCATGTTTGTTAAACTTCAACCCATGTGAGGATTAGTCTCCACTTCCTCCAAACAGAGGGATGGGACATTGCCAGCAACTTACCTGTGGAGCCAGCAACAACTGCCTTCAGCTTCCTTTTGTGCCTGTTAAAAACAAGAAACAAAAAATCAGAACCTCAGATACCTGGTTATGCATTGAACAGGAAGTGAGTGAACATGGCAA